ATTTATTGTATGTATGAAGTTCTATGTATACAAATCAAGTAACGTTGAACTAATATCATTACAGATATGCTCTTCATTGAAGAAATATATGTTAAAAGTAAAAAAAAATATAAAAAAATTGATTATATTTTAATTTTTATTCTTTTAGTCACATAGAAGAAGAAAGATATAATATGGTATAGAATTTTGACGAAATTAAAAATAAACAATTTTTAGTTTTATGGATGTTCGGGTGAACATAACGTGAAAGTCTTCGAAATCTATTTATATATATTGTTTAAGTATATAAATAGATTAAATATTTATCGATTATTAAAAGATTAAATCTGTATATTAGATAAAGAAAGAATGTATTAAAAAACTCTAATTATTATGATAATAGCGATAACAATTTAACATTTTTATTTTTCAATTTAGAATTTAAATTCATTTATACACAAAGTTCTTAGTTCTGGGCGCTTTGAAATAACTTAGACATAGGTATGACCAGAGTCGTATGTCTGATATAACCGTAGATAAGGAGTTGGGTTAGGGATCTCCTCCAGACACAAACAAATATACATAATTATTGTTTTCGTAAGTTTGTCAATATTATGTGTAGTTTATATGTTACTATTGTACTTATTACATAACCGTTATTGAACATTGAAATTCTTTAATACTATAGTAAAAAGAAAAAAAAAAAATAACCGCACTAGGAAAAGCATGACAACAATACTTATTGTACAAGGTCTTCTGAAAAGACTCAATTACCAAACACAGGTGCATATAATGGCTTTTGTCAGCCACTAGAGGCACCTGACGAGAATGCAAAGGTTGGTAGTAAATATTCCTGACACCCTTCACAACCTGATTCTCACATGCTATGATACATAAACATATATATGTATAATATGTTAAATATAATTGTAATACAATCAGATACATATTTTACGAAATATTTGGAGACATGGAGTGAATTATGCATATATTTTACACAAGGTAAAATTGAAAGTATCTTATAGATGGTTCATCCTAAAAACTTTATGTAATTAATAATATATACCTGAATATGTAAATCCACATCGAATGAACCGATTTTGGGACACAAAGGCACTATACTAAAGAGGCAGAGCAGTAGTTATCGAAAGGAGGGGAGGGTGGTGGTGGGGGGAGTGACTCATGGAGGGGAAGCGGTCTCTAATTGTCTCGTACTTTCTCTGTTGACTCCTCCGGTTATTGGGATCCATCGGCAAGTTCGGTTACTCTGCCAATATTAGTTCAAATGTAATCGTTACTCTTAGTAGTTCCTGTAGTTTAGCTCTATTTGTGGTGAGAAAATAAGACCTGATGTCCACCAAACCAAACAGTTCTTTAAAAAAACGTTTAGAAAAATCTACCAAGTTTTTAAAGGAATGTATATTTCCTTAGCAAAATTAAAATGTCCAAAGAAACAAAATATTATTAGGGTCATTTGAAAGTTTTTCAACATCAATTTTTTCGAAAAGACAAATTGAAGATATTCACATGTTTTTTTACTTCTTTGCAATCTTAGGATAGGATGTTTGTTTTAGGAGCATAATTACTAATGTGAGCATAGATAAACACCAACATTTTTTTCTCTTTTATTATGAGTTCAATTAACTCAAGAAAATAAAAATTTAATCGTATATATTGTGCGAAAATAATTATATTGTTTAATTTTGTTACATTTAATTTTATTTATTTATTTACAAAATGGGCTTTACAATCATCTGGATCATTTTTACCCTATATTAAAATTTGGTAATCAATAAATGTATTACTCAAATTACAAAACTACATATGACAAATACAGTTTATCAATAGTTTACAGTGAAATAGAATGTTAATAATTAGTTACAGCTTAATAAATATACAAGCAGATTAATAAAACTTAAAAGTACAGATATCATTAATATTAAATGTTAGAGATTAACAAAAACTGGTAAAATTAAAAGTTAAAAATTAAAAGAACAATAATTGCCATCTCCTCTTTATAAATCTTCTTTTAAAATTGCAAGAAGAAAAGTTAATGACAAAATTTAAAATTAAATATTAGAAATGATAGAATGTTAAAACAAAAAAAAAAAAAAAACCCATTAAACTTTAAAGTTTAGAATTAAAAGAAAGAACGTAGAAAAAACAATTAAAATTTACAGTTGAATATTGAAAGAATAAAAGTTTCAAAAAATCTGGTAAATAAAAGTTAAAAATTACAATAGTTGGAGTTAACAGGAGAGGATTCAAAGTTAAAATTACAAGAAAAAATGTTAAAAAGTTCTGTTTGAAATTAAATATTAAACACTAGAAGGAAGAAATTGAACAATAACTATGAAAATTAAAAGGTTAAGATTAAAAGAAGGAGAGTTGGCAGAAAAAAAAAATCAAAATTAAAGTTTGAAATAATAATGAATTAAAAATGGAATAATGTACTCTCTTCGGCGATACATATACTAAAATTAACTTAATTTATTTGCAGCAAATGAATGACAAATTGATCGAAGTTTCCAAGAAATTAAACGTTTGTTTGTAATGCAATTTTTTACAAAGGGCCCGGTGATTAGAACCTTACTCTATAGACTTTACTATTTTCTAGGGAGTGTGAAGCTACGGAATGAGGATTCAGACTTTCGTGGATACAAAAACTAACTCAGCTATTGTAACAGATTTAATTCAAAGTAATGTCAATCAACTAACTATCTAACTTTACTCAGTGTACTAAGTTTGATTAAAATTGATTCACCTTTATAAGAAAACTAATGCGCTAGGAAGTGAGTTTGTAAAAAAAAAATATTCCAGGGCTTTTAATGATATAACTCATCTCTATGCTACAGAGCAAATACATCTAGTTTAGAAAAAAAAAGCTGAATAAAAAAAAATTGTTCAATGCTCTCCAAATTTGCTTCAGCTAAAGATCGAAATGACCGTTTTCGAAAGGAAGGCGTTTCAATAAAAATACGTTCCGGTATCCATAAGCGAGAATAATGGATGAGGTTTGACAACATTGGTAAGGAACTATCAAAGTACACACCCGCACAATACCTGTAATAGTATTATCAAAATCGAATTAATGGTGGTAGATGATTTGCGTCGTACGGATTTGACTAAAGACAAACAAGAGATACAACTAAATTCCTTCCTTGATATCTAAATCGTAAAACGCGACTGGAAATTTTCAATTCAATTCACAACTTTTTAATCCTCCGCTTCAATACAAAGTTTTCTCCTTCCTTAGGCAGAAATGCAGCAAAATTATAGTACATTTTTTTAGACACATTCATTGCTCTGCAATGTAATAACTATATATATTTCTTGACACAGTATTAATCTTTAGAATTTAGGAATCAGTTAAAATAAAATGCCTGTGAAATGTACCTATTATTAATACACCGTACAATAAATTTTCTTTTCCACCCAATGAAGGGTCGGTGGTTGGTCCACACTTCATTAAAGTTGGGTGTGCCTCAGAATTTTTCTAACCACTTTGTCGTTCTAGGACTGACGGTATTAAAGTCCCACTTGATCAACCCACTCATTTAAATGCTCTATATTTAGCATAAATTTGTAATAAATTCTAAATATATCTATACTAAGTTATTATTTATAAATAGGGTTCATTCTCGATATTAGAACGAGAATGTTTCAGACACCTAAGTATAAACATGCAAGAAACTAGTAGAATTAGCTGTAAACATCCAGTTAAAGACACCACGGTATCATAATTGATCCTTTTAAACGTTTTTGCTAACTTCCACTTGAGTGTAAATAACGATTTCATTTGAGAAATTCCAGCATGACTGGTACTAAAAAAAAAATCACTATAAATTAACCTAACCATGTCACTCATGGTATATTAAATCATTATTTGATACATGAATTATAAGATTGAATGAGCATGATCCATGATTGATGAAAATAAATTACGTTGGTTACGTTAGTGCACATGAAAGCAATCAGTGTTAAAGTGGATTTAGGGAATAATGTTCAGTTTTATGAAGCCTAACATTTATATTCGGATTGTAAAAAAATGGTTCGAACTGAAAAATTATCAGTATTTTCTACTATTGTTTGCTCCAATTTCATTTGCAGATTTTTTGGTTTACTTCTTGATGCTCTTATGAAAAAGATAACCGTTCGATTTCAAAATTTTAACTTTAAATTTAAATTTATTATTTTCTTAATAAAACTTTCTATAATATGTATCGTTTTGTTTGTTTAATAAGTTTGTATTGTTCTATGAAGATGAGCAGTTATTGCTACTAATACCATAATATCTCGGATATATGAAAACTATAAATGGCACGATGACATAAATTCTGGGAATCTCTGCCTTAAATATTTTATGATTAAAAGTCGGAAAAGATCAAGAGGAAATATGTTTGTCCAGTTTCGTACATTTTAGATTTGTATTCGTAGTCTAATGTGCACTTTTCTGTAGGTCCTGGCTGTGCTTCATAGTATTTATGTGAATTTGTAGGTGTTTTCATTATTCTTATTTTCGGGTATTTGCTGACCATATTATTGACGGGCAGGGTCGCGTTGTGTGTGCTCCGTTGGGAGGGCTGATGGTGGTGGTGGGGTTACACTTGTGGCCTCCAGTTGTGTGTCGCGCATCTGGGAGCCTAGTTTGCGGGGTTTTTGACTTTGTGTGGGGATGTTTTTGATTTTTGGTTGGGGGAAGGGGGAGGGGATTGGAGTTGTGGCAGAGTTGTGGGGCAGTGTTATGCATTTTGTTTGGGCTTTTATGTGGGGTATTTTGTTTGAGGGTGCGTCGAACTTTTTTGTATTCTGGTCTTTGTGGGATTTTTTCGGGGGGGTTTTTGAATAAGGGGGAGGGGGGGGGTGGGGGGGGGGTTGGGTATTAGATTTTTGTGGTTGGAGTTTTTTGGAGTTTTGGGGGGGGGGTGGGGATTATGGTGTGGATGGATTTTATGGGGTACATTTTTTTTGAGTGATTTTGCGTGGGGTGGGGTATGGGTTGGTGGGGGGGGGGTACATAAATGGTGACGTGGAGTATGGTGGGGAGGGTGAGGGGTGTGGTGGTTGGCGGGAGGTTTTGTTGCCGTGGTAATAGGTGGTTGGGTTAATGGTGAATGTTGGGTTATTAGGATTTTTTGGTGATGGGGGGGGTTGATTTTGATTGAGAATTTGAGTGGTGATTGGGTTGTGGGGGGGGTTGGTAGGCAGGGGATGTAGTTTGGGATGTGACGTTATTGGGAATTTGTCCTATCAAGGTCAATAAAATTCCTTCTGCACACACTGTCTCCTAGGCTTATGTCGAGGCTATGAGCGAAACGCTAGTATGATTTTAAAATTATAAAAAGTGTTGTAGTGATGAGTTAAAACACCGTATGTCTTGAATAAAATCTGAGAACAAGATATTTTGCAAGATCGCTAGAATATATTAGGACGATTAGAGAAGTCTGGTCACCTGATCAGAGTTGTATAAGAAGAAAACCCTTAGGCGATTTTCAACGGAAGTGTTCCTGGAAGAAGAAAGAAGACGAGGAAATGTAATGATACCAAGAGGTGATAATTAATTCACTCCTTATTTTCTTATAGTGCAAAGGTAAAAAACAAAGAAAGAAAAAAGAAAAAGAAAATAATGTGAAAAGCAGAGCTCCGTCACTGAAGTACTGATTTCCTTTTATTTCAATAAATATCTAAAGGGATTTAATTGTGTTTCATTGATTCTAAACAGAAAAATTGGAAAAAAAAATAATCATACTTTTTGAGTTACTCGCAAATAAAATTTTCTAATGATAAAAATATATCTAGTGTGTCCACTCACACGACATTCCTACCTATTTCAGAAAAGTTTTTATATGTATATGTTCATGAAAAAAACAAAAAAGAATTGAACTATTTATTTTCCTGAAAATTGATCAAACAAAAGATTTGAGTACAATTTATTTGATAAACTAAAGCAATGTAAACCAGCTTTAGTTTTACTACAGCTTTAGTCTCTCATTAAGTCCTTTCTGACACTAGGATATAAACCCGTAATCTTTCATTGGAAATTGAATAGCTGTAACTTCGTTAATAGTTGTCCAAAATGAACGATTTTTATATGGCTTTTTTGAAGGGAATTTCATTACCTTTCAAACGACAGGCTAAACGGCGTTTAACTTTTTTTCCTGAATTTTTCGGGAATTTAGTCTATATAAGAAAATTGAAAGGACAATGATTAGAACATTATAGAAAAGTTTCATAAAAATCGTTAGAGCCATTTTCGCGCTACAGTCTACAGAAAAACATGTTTTTCCATTATTCGCGCAGGAATGGAGCACAGCATTTCTATCGCAGGCATCAGTAGTCAAAACTCTATAAAACAAAAAAAAGAAGTAACAAAATCGGTTGAGTATTTCCCGAGAAAATATTGGGACAGACAGACAGACAAACAGACCAATGGCTAAAAATTTGTTTTTCGGACTCAGGGGGCTCTGAAACGTATAAACCCTTCGAAAACCGTATATCGGAAATTTGACTCGATTGCAATACTTTCCGTACCTAGTATAGGTAGGAAAGTAAAAAATTTTTATAAAGTTTTTTATTTAAAATTTATCTAAACATTAATGGTATTTTTTCGTCTAGAAATAATTTATATACACCGAATTTCAGTTAATTTGTTACAACGGTGACCGCTGGGGATATCGAAGTGTAGCGGGGGAAAAAATACACCTATATGTTTAACTCACATTTCTGAAAATTACATAATCGTGATTAAGATGTTCTAAAACAATTAAAAAACACAATCGCGCCTTCCGTTGACGACTTTCCATACAGTTTAAATGTCTATTTCTGAAGGAAAGTAGTGAATAAGATACATCACCACTATCAAATTTATACTCATTACCACTTTATTACATATAATTTAATGATAAACTTTATTTTAAATATACCCCCATACCAGACTGAAACGACTAGAAACCGCCCGACGTTTTCGACTACTGCAGCACTTACTAGACAAACGCTCTAAGCTTTCAATCAATTACAAACGACTCATATATATGACAGTAACAAGACCTATTTGGACTTACGGGATTGAGCTTTGGGGCTCCACTAAACCATCGAATTCCTCTCGTATAGAATCCTTACAATCCAATTCCTTCGTAAAATCCTCAACGCTGCATACTTCGTCACAAATAAATTCATCAATAAAGACCTTAATGTTCCATATGTTTCCGATTTGGCCCAATCCAGATACCTATCCTTCCATAACAAACTGCAGAACCATCCGAATCCTCTCGTTTCAAACCTTGCTTCCTCCTCGATCCCTGATAACCCTCTGAGACGACTGAAAAGAAGATGGCCTCAGGACCTTCTAATATAGAACTTTAATTTGAGTTCTACCAATGGGTAGTTTCTCTTCATATTGTATATGTCATGTTACCACTGTCACATTTACTTGATGCATTTTCTATGTAATACAGTTGTAAATTTCAGTAAAATAAAAAAAATATTTTAAATATCAAATATTTATAAATAAGACATCAGTTACCTTCACCACCAAATTTTATTTAATACTACATTTCGACTAAACATACCATCATCGGAAATAGTATACTATTATCCTTATGATTAGTTCACTCAGATTATTCTTCAATGATATATGTTCATCTATACATATATCTATCTAACTCTAATCCATTCAAGATTAAGTCAACGATTGAAATGCAACTGAAAAAATAAATAAAAAATAGCTGCACAAAAAAAGTTCTCTAGAATTAATTATTACTATATATAATTATACATTCTTTAAGCATTGTAGGATATAGGATATATATTACGAAGATTGTGTAAACAAATTTGAATTTATATTTATATATATATATATATATATATATATATATATATATATATATATATATATATATATATATATATGTATATATATATATATATATATATATATATATATATATATATATATATATATATACATATATATATATATATATTGTTTTACTTCATTTTATTTACTATTATTCTTTTTTTAGTCGGTAAAGTCCAGTCTTGTTCAGAGGGTGATTTTATGAATGCTTTTAATTGTGATAACATTATCCAGTTATTGTAACTTTTTAAACGTATTACACCAACTAGCAGTTACATAAGAAGATATTGTGTAAGCAGATATGTAGTATTTGAATAAATACTATTTATAGTATAGTATAGTAGTATTATAAATAGTATTGCAATCTTACCCATTTAGTAAGTCTATAAGTTCATTACAATCTATTACATTTTTCTTAAATTATTATATTTTTTTAACAATCCGAACCGTTTTTACTAATACCAAATAAACTTAGATTGGTTAAACCAACAGTTAAGAGGTGGACATGCTCCAGACAATCGAGAAGAGATAAGTTGTAATAATTCGTTAGTGAAAAGGCCACAGCCGCCTCACCCACTGATTTACTGAAAAATGAGCCACTTCCAAAATGTCAATATTTCCAAAAAGTCCCAACAGGGAGGCACATTATCGAGGAATGTGTTAACTACAGCAGAAAAGTGGCCTACTTAGGCATTCTGCAATCCATCGCAAAGGCTTCAAGTGAATACTGCAGTTACTTTAATAACGTGACCAAATTTTTAAAAGAGACAGGACAAGTTTTGAAAACCAAAGAAGATGACCAATGATAACCATAGATTTTTTTCGTCATTTAAACTAAAATAAATAAAAAATATTTTTCACAGTAAAAAAAACAGCGTCACAGTGATAATGATCTTCAATTGCATTTAAATTACAAAGCACTCCACTCAGTAATTGTCTCCGAAATTTAAATACACCTTTTATAAAATTCACTCCCCTTCACACATAAACGTAATGCCTTTAATCTTAAGGCAATCCTTATACAGTTTATGAAAAAAATTTTTTTTGTTTTTATTACAGAAATTTACAACTGTATTAAATGACAAATACAACAAACATATATGAACAAGCAACATGGCATGAACAACATGAAGAGAAACTACCCATTGGTAATATATGGTACATTATGGTCGTTATGGATGGTTTTATTTGTGACAAAGTAGGGAGAATTAAGGATTTTACGAAGGATTTCGGATTGAAGGGATTGGATACGAGAAGAATTTGATAGTTTAGTAGAGCCCCAATGTTCGATCCCGTAAGTCCAAATAGGCCTTATTATAGTAATATATATATGAGTCTTTAGTAAATAGTTGGAAATTAAGAGCGTTTGTCTAGTAAGTGCTGAAGTAGTCGGAAACGTCGGGCGGTTTCTTGTCGTTTCAGTCTGGTATGGGGATTCCAAGTGAGTCGTTTGTCAAGATGGAGTCCTAGGTATCGGATTTGTTCAACAGGGATAGGTGGGGTATTGTTAAAGGATACTGTAGGACATGAAGTCGTAGGTTTACGACGCAGGGTCAAGATAATTTGATGGGATGTTGATGAAAATAAGAGGCTACTTTTTACATATTATCAACCTTTAAAATTACTTTTAAATTTAATTGATATATTTGAAATTACTTATGTTTAATAAATTAAGTAATAAGAATAAATTTATATACTAAATTAAATGAATTAAGTTCTTTTTACTAAATTATACAGTATTCATTCCTTATCCAAGAATAAAAGAACGTAAAAACTTAGAACAGAATCAATTTCTGAAATAAACCAGAAATAATATACACGAGAACTATATTCTCCCATCCAATGATTATTACAAATTATATTAGATCACACGTGTAAGTTAACGTGACAATCACTATCACCGACACGACTGCCAAGATAACAAATGTCATACTGTAGCCAAGGCTTACACCATGACACTGGCTGCAATAGTTACTGCCATGACAACATATAGCCAACGTGGAAACTATGCTTTCTGAAATGCAATTTTAAATAACTGTGGAGTGCCACTTGGTCATGCTATCATTTACAGAATGTGACCGCTAAGTCTGTTCAAACGACGCGTTAAAAAATAATGTTAAATGTAGATTTGAGCTTAGTACCAGAGGAGTAATGGCCGCCAGAAGTAGTCTTCACACTGGAGACCAGAGATGGGCAAATGTTACTCTGAGAACTGAGCTCAAAGTATTTTACTCAAATACAGATCTTTTTTGAGTATCAAAGAATTTAATCACTACTTCAGTTGATGTCAATCAAATAATTGAAGTAATGATTGAATACCCAATAGTGATTAAATTTGAGTAAAATACACGATACTCGGTACTCAGAGTATCATTTGCCCATCTCTGCTGGAGATTAAAACGAAACAGCATAAAGTGAATTGTGAAGTTGTGAAGTATTTTGTATGATATTTTTTACAGAATTGACCTGGATCTAAATTTGCAACGAAAGAATTCTTCCACAGTAACAGGGCCGGACCATTTCTCGACTGCAACATTCCAAAGCTTTATGAAATTTGTGGAGGCAGGATGTGCAGAAGCGATAAAGACGGGCATTCATTGGAGACAGGGTGACCGGCTGCGGAGGGCTTCCATTCGCGACAAGCGGACTCCCTCGCCATCCTAAATATGGAGAGAAAAAGACAACCTACTCCAAACCTGCTTCTTTTCACCGGCTATATTCAAACTATACAACGGCCAACCGGCGGTGGAATGCGTTGAAACCACACACTCGTTGGTTTATTTCGACCGATTCCATGCCCGAAATACAGATAAATAAAAACATATACTCCGCCATCTTGAGATAATATCTGTTAAATTATATGCTTGTGTATGGTAAATCTTGTAATCAGATTCAGGAGGAAATCAGGAAAGCGGTATCGAATGGTGGGGTCAGTTGCATCTGCTTTCCAATGTGACTAATCAGTATTGGAATCTCGGCGGGATTTATTACCTATTGTCACATTAACGATTACGACGGCACAAATATTTGACATGAGTCTATTCTAATTAGTGTTTATTTATCCAACTCAACGATTAGGGAGATAACTATAATATAAAATTGTTTATTTTTTCTTGAGAGATTATCAAACTCTCAGAGGTTATAAATACAAAGTAGTAACACAAATCAAATTGAGAATGACTATTGACGAAAGATTGAATATAAATAAATTTAATTACGTGTCAGAGTATAAATAAATAATACAAATAATTTTTTCCAGCATTTCGAAAAGAAAAATGTTGGCAGAGACATGTTTTTCTTTGAATTCCAAGATTATGCTAGTTTGTTTAGATTCGGACTTAATTTTTCTTTGGACATTAATGTCACTACAGCAGGGGTCTCCAAACTACAGCCCTCAAGCGCTTCCAATCCACTACGCTGATGTTTCTTTGATTAAGTGGTAAAGTTTGCAAAACTATTAAAAAAGATAAAATTTACCAAATTACTCATACAATAATTTACTACAACATTTATTGCATGTTTTTTTTTTCTTTTAGAAAACTCGTTTCAAGAGTGAAGTATCATGCATAGAATAAAAACTCAATGCAGCCAATTTTATTTTTAAGTCAAGTAAAACCTTTTCTGAGAAGAAGTTGGTCGGTGGGTAAGGTCAAATAAATACTATATACTGAAGTAGTATTTTATTGGTTACGCCGACGTTTCGACCCATTTTGTAGGTCTTTATTAGGGCGTGGTATCAGGCACTGCAGAAAGCAGTTGGTAGACTAAAACTTTTTTTGATGTCTGAAACTTTTTTTTTGTTATTAGTTTTTGAATGCTTTGAATGAAATTGAATCATTTAGTAAAATTACTTGATCGGTGTTACAAAATGGTTGATTGTATTAAGAAGAATGAAGCAGGGCTTGAAACGGAAAAGAAAGTTTTATTTTTAAAACATTTTTATGGTCGATTGTTTTCAGTTATTTTGGAACTAGAACTTTTTCTCTAGCAACATTTCAAGTAAAGCTTGTACAGAACCTTTATTTAAAAAAAAAAATTAATAGTCCTGTCGATTTCATTAAAAAGTCAATCTAAAATATGACTTTTATTTATAGCTACTCAAACAAACGACACATTAGAATCATGTAAAATTAATTTAAAACAATGATAACTCTGACTTAAACGCAATTACTGTTTATTTTCATTTAACGGATCTTTATTTATGAACTTGAATAAATACAAGTTACATTTTTACCAAATATCTTCAACTTTATTCCAACTTTGATCAAAGAAACTTTTATTTTAATAACATTTTTCCTAAAAAGTTTCACAAAAACTGTTAAAATGGAGCTTTTTAAAGATGTTCCGTGTAAGTTTCAAACCTTTGTATTAAGAACATGAAATTTGTATAAGACTCTTAGTAATTGTAGTCCGAAGAGGATTTTTAATTTTAGAGCCCTAAAAAAATTCGAAAGTTATTATTTGTGTTATATATTTTTTCTCAGTAAAGCTGTCATTGAATTGAAAAAAAAAAACCTCTATGGTAGGCCCTCTTAATAAGTGAGCTCCTGAGTGGATATATTTTCGAAGACACCAAGCAAACAAAACAAAAACTGATAATTTATTTTAAAACAATAACACTCCCGCATGACTAAATAAAATATATTATAAAATATGTTATTATTCTTTAATAAAATTATTATTTAATACATAAAAAGATGGTTCCACTTTTTGTGACCCTTAGTAAGTGGGGATGAGGGCAGACTATTCTCTCTGATCCTACTACCCCCCTCTCTCCAGGTACGTCACAAAAGATGTATACTTAAAAACTATTAAAACCATTTATTTAACTTCGAACTTTTATTAATGTCTGCCAGTATGTACTATATGCCACATCAGCCTTGTTTAATGTCCAAATGGTTTTAATATCAACCATTTATAATTAGATGCGTAACTTATAGTGGTAGAGATAGAAACAAAATATCAAACAGAAAATATTCCCTGTCGTTTGGAATAGAGTCATAGTTTCGTAATGTTGAATTGATACGACACACTTTCTTCACAAGTTCTTTCACAGCTACAACAGCTCAAGTAGAGAATGATGGACTACTGTCGAGCATTCTTATTCAGACCATCATTCTGTAACTTCCACGCTGCATTATATCGGGATATAGAACTTCGAATAGCACAACCATTCTATATTCATATCACTTCTAATAAATTTATTTATATCACCAGGTAGTTATCAAACTAAATGACTAGTATTGAGGACAAACAATGACGGTAAATCCCAATACATCATATCATAACGAGTCATTAGGTTCACGCATGTTCCACATTAAAAACACTAATCTATTTGTAATAATTAATGAATTGCAACATATATCATTTCAATTACAATTATGTATTTCAAAGAATAATCGATTCAACTATGAAACAGTTTGTTGTTTGAATAGTTAGATTGAAGTTATCTTAGTTATTTATTCTCTCTCGAAAATTATGTTTTATAAAATTAGTATATTGAAAAATTAATTGTAAAATTTATTCAAGAATATGAATCAATGTTCAGCGCAGACTATGTTGAAAGTTTCCTAATAATTATTTCATAATTAGCAGCCACCGCCTTATTGATAATGGTTTAAATTATTTATCAGAGTTTTAAAATGCCAATCCTAAAGAAATATACTTCAGTTGAGCTATCCCTCTTTGAATATAATAAAACGTATACTCTGAGGTAACATAAACCGATCTTTTCTAATTTAAAATCACCAGTGATTTTTTTTATTCACTTTAGTGATTTCATTGTTATGTTATGTTTAAACATGTTACTGGATTCATAATTGATACTTGATAACAACTGTTTTATCAAACGTATGAAACCAGTGGTTCATTTCAATGTTATTTCAAATCCCAGGTGATAAATAAAACAGCTCTGAATTGTCAGCTATTCAGACAATTTCAATGATCCGGTTTTAGACTCAAACACTCAAAGAATAAAATTTATTTAGACAGGAATACAATTTGGTAATAAAAAAGAACGTGGAACAAGAAGGAGTATGATCTATTCTCACTTGTGTGAATTAATTTAGAGAAAGATATATTAAAATGAGGATTATTTTGAAACAATTTTATGTTGTATTGAAAAAAATTGATGTCTTTATAAAAGTGAATAAATATTACATTTATTGTAGATAAAATTTAATAAATTAATATTTATAACGTTACATTTCATTCTAGACATGTTTAATCAATTGTTCATAACTGTGAAATCATAAAAGTGAAAAATAATTCACTGGGTGTTTAAAGTAGAAAATAGCTCCAATCTTTAGATTTTGGCTCCTTGGTCAACTTGATAGTAAAGGAAATATTAAATTTAAGAACATGTCACTTTACAATTGTATACTTAACAATAATATAATTTTTTCCAAATATATCATTTACCATCTCAATCTAGTTGATCCTTGGATTTTTATCAGACCATATTAATTATCAGGTAATTAGCATAATTGAGAAATACATAAATATCATGTAAGAAAATTTAAATAAATCCCTCTAAATCAATCAATGTCGATTTTTCCATTATTTTCCTTTCAATTAGAAAAATTTATTATTTGCTACATATTTATAAAATGAAAAATACAAGGCATAACAGTCAACTAGTAAATAAAAGAAATATTATCAAAAATGAACAATGTCACATATTTCGAACTTCATTTCTAAAAATTACTTTACAAAGATGTATTATGACAAAGACAAAAGTAGGAGATTAAAAAAACACGTCTACACTAATTGTAAGTAATAATACTCCCCCCAAAATGCTTAGAAAAATTGTTTATGCGCCATGGTTAATTTTAAATGGCACCATAAGGTACACTAGGGACGTTTTTATAGTTTAAAATATTAACTATCAAATCATCGACAAATATCAAAGTGTTAGGCTTAGAAGGATTTGAATTTTCTGCGAAAACTACCAAACATAGTTTAGCTATTACAACAATACATTTAATGAATTATACCAAATAACGAAATTTGCTGCATTAATGACTCATTGGGGAGGCATCTAATTAAAAAATATCTGTCTTTTAACTGGGTGTACTAAAACATGATAGAATTGAATAAAAAATAAAGAAAAAATTTACTATAAAAATCGCAGTTAAAAGAAAATTGTGGACATTTAAAACTGTCTTATTCTATTATATTCTTCTATATTTCGGTATTATTATACTCCAATAGTATAATCTTCTTACTATAGTTATCAATAAACAATTTTTTATATCTATAAAAGTATTTAATAATAAATACTTATTAACGGCGTTATTACTACAGACGTTAATTTTTTTATATTAAATTATTCATTAAATATTAACACAATCTGCCACACTAAAGTTCAATAAGCATTAGAGCTAAAAGTGTCCACTCATACAATATATGTATATATATACAAGAAAATGAAATGAAAGTAATTAAGAACAGATTAAAAAAATAATAAAATAAATAAAAATGAACAAACAAAATATAAAACAGTAGTAAGTAGTAGTAATGAAAGTATACTGAAATTATATATATATATATATATATATATATATATATATATATATATATATATATATATATATATATATATATATATGACTTCACAAATTAAAGGATATATATATAAATAGATGGTTACAAAAAATAAATAAATAAAATTCTTCTAAAAGTTAGTCACACATGTATACAATATTTAAAAGATCATTATTTAAAATTGAATAATATAAAAAGTAAAAGTTTCATTGAATTTTGATGAACAAAATGGACTTATATAATTAATTATTAAAACTGCTAATAGTATTAAATACGGTA